CTCTCTCCCTCCCTCCCTTTCTCCTTCGTCCCTCCCTCCCTTCCTCCGTCCTTCTTGCCTTCCTCCCTCCCTTCCTCCCTCCTCCCCTCACCCCTCCCTCCCTCCTTCCTTCCCTTCCCTCCCTCCCTTCCTCCATCCTTCTTTCCTCCCTCCCTTCCCCATCCTCCCTCCCTCCCTTCCTCCCTCCTTCCCTTCTTCCCTTCTTCCTGCACTCATTCCTCCCTTCCTTCTTCCCTCCCTTCCTTCCTTCCTTCTTTCCTCTTTCCCTCCTTCCTCCCTCTCTTTCTTCCTCCTTTCTTCCCTCTTTCTCTTTTCCCTCCTTCCCCTTCCCCCTCTCTCCTCCTTCCCTTTTTCTTTTCCCCTGCCTTTGGCATCTGTGTGTCAGACCCCAGGTGGAGTCCTGCACCCTGCGTGGAAGAGAAGACAAGGTCTGTGGGTGAATGGGCGACGCTCTGGAGGTTGGCTTACCTAGCAGGTGCTCACGGTAGGAGAGGATGGAGGGGGCAGTGCTGGGGAGGGGAGAGGGGGATGTGGCCAGGCAGAGCAGTGCTGAGGACGGATGTGGAGAACGATGCAGGAGGAAGTGAGAGCGAGCCCTTCTCTGAGTGGCGGGTTCGGGCGCCTCCTCGCATCCCCACCCGCCACCGACCGAGGGCCCCGGGGCCAGGCTGCGTTGTCACGGACCCAGGGCAGCCTCCCCTGTCTGCCTCTGCTTTTGCCCCAGCAGCCACGGCTGTGGGAGGAGGAGGAAGCCGAGGAAGCCGCCCGCCATCTCTTGTAACAAAGGATGAAGCCGCTTCCTCTGCGGTCTCTGCAGTGCCCCACCCCCACCCCACTCGCCGTGGGCCGCTGTGGTCGCCGGGTGGCTTCTCCTGGTTTGCTCGGCTCCCCACCTCATCGGTTCACGCGAGTCTTCCTGGGCTTCTCGGCGTTTCCTTGCTTCTCAGGGCCCCTCCCCGGCCCGCCACCCTCCCGTGCCACGCCACGGCTCTGAGCCTCTGGGAATATTTCTTGTGTGAATGGGATCTTTCCCTTTCTGCTTCGGGTTGGGGAGAGCGGCACGCGCTGGAGTGTGTGCCCCCCTGCATCCTCCCTTCCCCTATTGTCATGTTTGAGTCAGCGTTTCTCTTACTAGGAGGGGTTTGGAGCCACTTTCCTGTGGCTGTCGGTAGTTGGTGATGTTTTTCTGAAAACTCTCAGCTCCCCGGGCCCCCTGACCCCTGTGACACAGCTCGCGTCTTACGTCTCTGCATTAATATCCTGGAGATCGTGACTTTCAGGTGGGCGGCAGAGGGGCTGCTTCCTTCCTCATCCTCACTGTGTGCATACCTCCGTATCTCAGCATTGCCTGCACTCTCTTGGTGGAATCCTTGAGGGAACACGAGGGACGAGTCTTGAGTGACGGCCCTGCGGGGAGAGAGCGCGAGCGGCTTCCCCTCCCTTCGCCAGGCCTGGTGAACCTAGGGTCAGGAGCTGTACCGGGGAAAGCCGAGAGTCGAGCCCATCCTTCCCCCAGGACCAGGAGGTGGACACTTGTCTTTGCGGGCCCTGGGACGTCACGCCTGCTAGGGCCAGCCTGGCAACAACTTTCTCCTCGACTCAGCTGTGCTGGTCCTTGGGGGGCAGGACCTGTGAGCCCGTGTGGGGTCCCTTCCCAGGTGGCCACCAGCCTCCTAGCTCCGAGTCCCTATGACTGAGACGTGCGTTGTCTGACTTTGACTTTGCGGAGAAAGCCTTGGCAAAAACCCTTATACTTGAGGCTGGAAAGTGTGGAGATGGAGCAGAGGGAGACTGTGGGGGAGTCGCTGGCTTTGAGCATCTCCAGGGACAGGCAGGAAGGCTACCCTGGATCCAGAGCTGGGAGAGGGCCTGGAGGGAAGCCCAGGGGTTAGTACAGGGCAGAGCCGTGGCCCAGTGGACCGGCACACTGGAATCACTTCCCGGGTTGGGACATGCCCAGGGATTTGATGCCTGGTGGGGAGTCCCTAGGGCTGTGCTTCCAGGGAAGGCTGGGAGCTTTGTGGCCCCCGCCAGGCTCTAGAGACTTCTGGAAAGACCACAGGCCAGCAGAGAGCTGCCTGAACGTGAGGAGAAGGGATGGACTGAGGGATGAAGATCTGAAGGAATGAATAGGTGGGATGTGCCAGTCTTCCCTCTCAGGACCCAGGCAGGAAGTTAGAGTAGAGGCTACAGGTCTCAGTGCCTGTTTACTCTTACTTTACATCCAGTTCTAACCATAGTGCTTATCTGGTTTTCTAGTCCTTTTACAGACGAGAGCAAACAATGAGAACGGGTCCATGGGTTTGCTAAAGGTAGAAATTCTGAGAACACAGAGCAGGAAGAGTCTGGAAAGGACTCTTCCCACACCAGTGGCCCCTGAGGTTACCTCCCAATCTGAAATGCAGTGGTCCTGTGAGGCCTAGATTGGGCTTGTGTGGGGCATCTGGTTTTGTGGCGGACCAGGAGTTGGCAAGGGAAATGTGAAATCCAGGCTTTCTGGCTTCTATAGTGTCAGGAAGGCCTGAGTTCTAATGTGACCTCGGACTCTCCCTAGCTGTGTGACCCTAGGCAGGTCACTTTACCCCTGCCTGCCTCAGTCTCCTCATCTGTAAAATAGGCTTCCCCCACCACTCCCTCAAGCTAGAAGGACTGTCTATCCTTCTAAGCTAGAGGAACTGTCTCTCCTTTAAGCCTCCACCCTCATCTGACCTCCCAAAACAATCTGACGGAATGAACAAATATGTCTTACATACTTACTGTGTGCCATGACCTGGCCTCCAGGGGTTACAAAAGCAAAGATCTTTCTGCTGGGTGCACATCAGGGGTGATAGCCACAGATGCACATCATGGTTAGAGAGTGACCAGGATGGTGAGTCTGGTCTTAGGGGAGTGGGCTGATACACCTTTTCCAGGACTAAGGAGTTGATTAAATTTTGGTTCCAGGACTGGAGTTGGGGGAGTAGTGGAAGGGAGACTGAGGTCACTACCGAGGATGGGAATTCCAGACATGAAGGGGTGAGGTCCTTCAGGGCTTTGTATCTGGAGGCATGGAGGCTGCTGCCATGCCAGGCATGAATCTGATTTGGGGTCTCATTATTCCCCCCAAACTGCTCTCTCCAAAGTCACCAATGATCCCTTAGTGGCCAAATCCACTTGTCTCTTCTCCATCATTCTCTGGGACCTCTCTGTGGCCTTTGACACTATGGATCTCTTTCTTTCTTTTTTTTTTTTTTTTGCTTTTTGGTGAGGCAGTCAGGGTTAAGTGACTTGCCCAGAGTCATGTACCTAGTAAGTGTTAAGTGTCTGAGGCTGGATTTGAACTCAGGTCCTCTTGACTCCAAGACCAGAGCTCTATTCACTGTGCCACCCAGCTGCCCCATGGATCACTTTTTCTTCCTGGATCCTCTCTTCCCTCTGGGTTTTCAGAATACCTGTTCTCTCCTGGCTCTTCTCCTACTTCTTCTGTGTCTTCTCTGCAGGATCTTCTCCCAGGTCATGTCTCTTAACCTTGGGTATCCCCTCATCAACTCCCTTAGGTTAAATTATCATCTCTGTGCAGATAATTCCCAGGCCTATATATTTAGCCCTGATTTCAAACCTCCAGTCTCCCATCTCCAACTATCTATTGAACATTTCAAACAGGATGTTGAAGAAACATCTCAAACTCAGCATGTCCAAAATGGAACTCCTTAACTTTTCCCCAGACTTCCCTGACACCCTTAGGTTCCCGATCTAGAAGTCATCCTCGATCCTCACTCGCCCCCACCCCCTCATCCAGTCTGTGGCCAAGGCCTGTCCACTGCACCTCTGTAGCATCTCTGGTCCATTTCACCTCTGCAGCATCTCTGGTCCATTTCACCTCAGCTGCACCTCTGGTCCCTGTCACATCAGCTGCACCTCTGGTCCATTTCACCTCTGTAGCATCTCTGGTCCATTTCACCTCAGCTGCACCTCTGGTCCCTGTCA